GCCCTTCATCAAAAGATTAGCAGAGAAGCATTCAATCGTACATTTTGGGTTTCCTAAAGGGTGAAGTTTACAAGTTAAATTTTTATTTTGAAATTTTCTATTGCTTTAAATTACTTGAATACTGGTCCAATCACATCAGCTGGAAGGCTTTATCTTCTGCAAAGGTACGGGTGAAAGATGGTTTTCCAGATCAGAGTGAAAGTTGGGATCTGTACGTCATTGGGACAGGAGTTAGCATGAGTACTTAAGCAGCCTTTTCAGAAAGGTTTTCTGGCAATGGCTTGGATCATCTCAATGTGAAAGATGACACAGGTGACGAGAATGGGAGAAACGGGGCTTGGTGACATGTGTTCTCCAGAACAGAAAATGGAATTAAAATGCTTATTTGTGTGCATTTTTGTTAAGTTTATGCAATTTTGCATAGTATGGTACTCTTGTCCATCACTTACCACATAAATGTCAACAGTGGTTTGTGTACTATTCAGGCTTGACGTTTTTTGGGGCTGGAGAGAGTGTTTCTAAGACTGTTTTCCTTCATTCCTTCACATGTTCCATGGATAGTCATTGAGGGAATACCATGAACTGATGATGCTCTGAACAAGACAGACACAAGCCCTGTATTATGGAACTTGTGTTCTAGTGAGGAAGACACAAATACTCCAGCATGCAAAAATTAACATGCAATTGTTTTATTTTTAAAGATTTTTTTTAAATTGGAAAGTCGGATATATTTTCTGTCCACTGTTTCACTCCCCAAGCGGCTGCAACTGAAGTCAAGAGCTTCTTCCAGGTCTCCCACGCGGGTGCAGGGTCCCAAGGCTTTGGGCCATCCTCAATTGCTTTCCCAGGCCACAAGCAGGGAGCTGGATGGGAAGTGGGGCTGCTAGGGTTAGAACTGGCACCCATATGGGATCCCGGCGCATGCAAGGCGAGGATTCTAGCCACTAAGCTACCGTGCTTGGCCCAAAGTGTTTTATTTTTGTAAGAAGGGAAGTACAAGACGTTTAAAATCAACATGATGGAGACAAGATATTTGTAAACACTTTCAAACATTTCATTAATTGATTTGGTGATGCTGTGTAGCTGACTACTTGATTCAATGTTACCATTCTAACATTGTTACATATTTGCCAAGTACCTGCTAGGTAGCTGGCCTCCCTTTCAGGGATGGCTAATCAGTGGGGGAGACAGGGGAAGCTCTTGTCTGATTGTGGTTTTAATGTACCGCTTTTATTCCCACCTGTGCTTTGGGGGCAGCTGCAAACATAGCTCCTCAGAGATTCAGTCCATTTCTTTTCTTGTAGTAGTGCTAACTTCCCAGGGTGGCAAACTAGTAAATGTTACGTTCAAAGACTTAAGACACATGGAACATGTCCAGCTATGCCTGGCTGAGAGTAGATGCTCAATCAATGCTAACTATTGTTAGAAAAGTGTTATTATGATAATGCTGGATTTCCTGTCTTTTCCAGTACATTGGATTTCATGCTCGAATTCTAAATGCACTTACTATAAATCTAAGGGGCTGGTGGGCCGTTTTATGGACATGATGAGATCCATGAGAAAAATGTCTCTAATGTTGCTCTGAACCCTTAGGACAATCATCAGTCCCTATAACCCGGCTTCCTTAGAGTGAAAAACCAGTTTTAAAAAAAAAAAAAAAAAAAAACAGTGGCAGTAGAATGGGAGTGGGACCCACAAATATTACCCATCGATCAGAACTGCGGTTATCCCTCTGAAAAGCAGGTCTGTGTTCATCTACATTTCGTAAAAACAATGTGAACAAATATATTTAGCAGCCTAAAAACTCACAGTTAAAGGACTCTTAAAAATTAGGGAAAATCTTTTGTTTCTGCTCGACTAAAAGTGTTCTCAATGGCAACTTTCTAACTTAAAATTGTGTGAGTATGCTTCAATGTCTGCAGCACACCCCCCCCTTAGGGAGAAATATTGGGAATTCTAGGAACGTCAGGAACGTCACTGAAAACTAAGTGTATCCACTAAGAATTTTGACGTGGGAATGAGATAACATGGACGCTTAGAACTGACTCAGCTGTACCCAGGGATGTGTGAAAGCTCACAAAACTCCTAGATCTTTCAAAAGATATATAAGGATAATCCTCTACTAGCATAAATTATTGAATGATTACTTAATTCACTTTTAAAAAAGAAAAAGGGTTTGTCTGTTTGAAAGGTTTGGTTACAGAGGGGAAGAGCTACCGTATGCTGGTTCAGTCCTCAAACTGGGGGGACTCTGTCTCCCGCGTGGGTGCAGGAGCCCAGGTGCTGGGCCATCCACCGCTTTCTCAATCAGCAGGGAGCAAGATCAGAAGTGGAACAGCTAGGTCTCCAACGGGCATCCATATGGCATGCCGGCACTGAGGGCACCACAACGCAGGCCCCTTACTTTAAAAGTGTGTTCAACTTTGGTTTTTGATTTCCCCCCCGCCCCGAATCAAACTGGGTAACTGGGGACTTAACCCAGTCAAAACACCTGCTTCTAATACTCCACTTAATCAAACAGGCAAGCAAGCAAAGCAGGGCTCTAGGACTGCATTCTGATCTCCTGACTACCCACTGTGAGCCTTCTGGTAGACTTGCACCAAAGTTCAGGAGACGAGGGGCCAGAAGCGGGCGCTGCCAACACAGGGTCGCGGTGCTCCCTTCCTAAAAGTTGTGCCTGAGCCCCCGGCGCTCTACCCAAGGCGCAGCGACTATTTCCTTTGCCAAGATGGCGGCCGCCCAGCCTTCCGGAGGCAGCCCCGCGAGCTCGTCTCCTGAGAGAGGACTTCACAGACGCCTCAGCCTTTCCCTTTGCCGTCAGACAACGCCTCGGCCACCCACCGCTTCTGGAACCCGGGAAGGGCGACTTTGAAAGACACGTCTCGGAGCGCCTTGGCCAAGATGGTGGCCGCGGGGCCGGGCTGGCGTCAGCACCCTTTACCAAGATGGCGGCGGGCGGCTTCCGGCACGCGCTCCCCGAGCAAGATGTCAGAGCGAGGCGGCCGGCGGGGAGCGCGTCCGGGCAGAGCGCGTCCAGGCAGAGCGCGCGCGGCTGCGGCCGAGCGCCGGGGCGAGGGCCAGGTGCAGCGCGGCAGCGCGCGTCCTCGGCAGGGGCCGGCGAGCGCTGTCACCCGCGGCCGCCCAAGTTACCCTCCGCAAACGCCAAAGCAACCCAGCCTGCGCCTCTTTTCGGAGCCGCAAAAACCCACACGATGTGCTGCGGCACAGGGTAAGGTGGCTCGGCGGGCGGCGAGACGGGGGCCGGGCGCCGGGGCGGGAGGACCCCCGCACCGGCACCCCGGGTCCCCAGCACGCCCCCTCTCCACCTCTCCGCTCCGCTCCTCGGGGACGGGCCACGTGTTTCCCTCGGACCGAGCTGGGAGGAGGCGCGTAACGGGAACAGCTGGAGGGAGTTGAACGCTGACATTTTAAAGCTGCGTGCGTTTGTTTTATTTGGAGGGGCAGAGGTTCTCCTGAAAGCGAAAAGGGTGAGCGGCGCACGGGGTCGAGGGCGGCGAATGTCAGGACTCGGAGGGGGAGGGGCTCCGCGGGGAATTTGGCCGTGGGCCCCCGGGGGTGGGGGCTGGAAGGAGAGGTCAGGAGTTTGGGATGGGGCGGGGGGCGCAGTTGGCCAGCAACTTAAAAAAAAAAAAAAAAACTCTTGGGACTGCAACTTTGCTTTTTGGTCCGGCAACCCCTGTTTCTCTTGAATCGCAATTTTCAAAGTGCAAAGAAAAACCCAGCTCGCCGGAGGCTTTTGCATTTGGCGTGCAACTTCCTTCGAGTGTGAGCGCGCTGGGAGGGAGGCCGGGAGGGAGGGGTGGGGGTTGAACTTGGCAGGCGGCGCCTCCTCCTGCCGCCGCCCCGCAGACTCCTGGAAGAGGGTGGGGGGGGGGGACGGCCGGGGCGCGAGGGAGGGTGGGTTTTCGCTTTGCAACTTCTCTCCCGGTGCGAGAGCGCGGCGGCTGCAGACCCGACCGCCCAGACGATGCGGGGGCGGGAGCCCCCCGACACGCGACACCCCCCGGGCGCGGAGTACGTAGGCGCTGACCCCCTCTGCCCTCCCCGCGGCTCCCCACCCCTTCCCCGGAGGGCGTGTCCGGCCGCCCGGCCCCGAGCGCCGCCGAGACGCCGCGGCACCGTTGGGCGTGCAGCCCGCGCAGCCCCTCGCCGAGACGCGGACGGCCCGCACCCCGGCCGGGGGGCGGCGGGCGGCCGGACCTCCCCGCGGCGGGCCGCGCCCCGGCTCCCCGCAGCCGCCGCTGTCATCCTCGGGAGCGCTGGCGGCGCCGGCCGCCCGGGGCACGGGGCGAGCTCCCGAGCGAGTCCGCAGGCGCTGGCTGGCCGGGACGCAGGAAGGAGAGGGAGCGAGAAGAGAAACTAGAGGAACTCGGCTTTCCCCCCCACGTTCAGTCGCCCCCCCCCCCCCCACCCAGAGAGACCAGGTCGGCCGCCGCCGCCGCCGCACTTTTTCTTCTTCCTGGGCTGGGCTGGGGGGTGCCGGTGGGCGGGTGGCCGGGCTGCCCGCGCGCCTCCGGGGTGGCACGGGCCCGCAGCTCGCGGGGTGCTGCGGGGGGCGGCGGGCGTGCAGGCGCCGTCGGGCCGGGCGGCGGCTGCGGGCGGGGGCCGCGGGCGCTCCTGCAGTTGCCGAGCGTCGCCAACAGGTTGCACCGTTCCCCGCGGCGGCCGCGCGGGCCCCGGGGCGGGGAGCGGCCGGGGGCGGAGTGGGAGCGCGTGTGTGCGAGTGTGTGCGCGCCGTGGCGCCGCCTCCGCCCGCCCCCCGCTCGGTCCCGCTCGCTCGCCCGCCGCGGTCGGGCGGCCCTTCGCGAGTCCGCGCTCCCTCCCCTCCACCACCACCACCTTCTCCTCCTCCTCCTCCTCCATTTTGCGAGCTCGAATTTGTGACTGGAGCCCGAGTCACCGGCCGCCCGTCGGGGACGTTTGTTAGTGGGTGCGTGGACACGCCGCCGCCCGAGCGGCCGGGACTGGAGAGGTGCGTGCGCGGGAGCTCGGAGCTGCGGAGCCCGGAGCGGGACGGGGGGCCGTCCTGTCAGGTGGGGGAGATGGGAGACTTTCTCAAATAGGGGCTTCACCGCCCCCACCCCCACCCGCGCCATGGAGAACGGGGCGGCTGTTTACTTACAGTTTTTAGGAAAAAAAAAAGCCTCCTGCTCTTGTTGCTTTCACACGCTAAGTTGTTTATCTCGGCTGCGGTGGGAGCTACGCTCGGTGGCGGGTGAGCGGCGCCGCCGCCCGAGGTAAGTGGCGGGCGGGTTTGGGGGGTCGAGGGAGGGCTTGGGGCGCTGCGAGTGCTGGCTCCCCGAGGTGCCACCCGCTGGGGAGCCCCGACAGTCGCGGCTGCCTACAAACTTTTATTAGCCTAGGGCAGTAGGGGTTGGGGATGGCGAGGGCCGGGTGCTGGTGGCGAAAGGGCAGCGCGCGGATGACAGCGCTGGCCTCTTCCTCCGCCACCGTCCCCCGGCCGGGCCGACGGGGAGGAATCGGGGCTTGGGTTGCGAAGGGAGTCTTTGGCTCCTCTGCAGGAATCCCGGGACTCTCCCCGCACTCCCCCCCGCCCCCAAAGTCCGACCCGTTTCTTCCCTTCCCCCGGGGGGCCGCCCCTTCAGCCCGTGTATTTGTTTTGAAGGTGAGCCCCGAGCCGCGTGTGGGTTTCCGCAGGTTTCCTTTGGGGCGCGGGTGCGCAGTGTCTGTGGCGGCCGGCTTGCGGGGCTGTGCTGGGCTGTGAGGGGCTGTGCGGGGCTGAGCGCGCGGGGGAGAGAGCGGAGAGAGCGCGCCCGCCGCCCCGGAGACTTCGGCTTGGCTGGCGGGATCGGGGCGAGTGGGCGTGTCGGGGCGCCCGCAACAGGTCTGCACGCGTCGCGCTCTCCTGGTGTCCCTGGGGGCCCCGTTCGGAGAAAGGTCCCCGCGCCGGGCAGCGCTGAGTGCGGTGAGTCGTGGCTGAGCGCTGGTTTGGCGTTGGGGGCTTACAGCCCCGGTGAGAAGCCGGGGAGACCTCTCGCCGGGCTTCGCCTGGAGGCCGGGGGTGTGACAGGGGCTACTTGCATTGACGCGGGGGTAGGGGTTGTGTTCGTGTCTCCCCGGAGGGAGCGTTTGACTTGGTGAGATAGCGTTTTGGTTTAGGGTTGGAAGGCAGCTGTCAAAGAAAAAAAAAAAATAATAAAAGGCAGCGTGGATATCCAAGAGGCTCCATTTGATACCTGGTGTTTTGGAGATGGTTACCGGATAACCACGGCGGCCGGGCGGGCAGGGAAGCCGTGGCTTTCCGGGGCTGTGCGGGTCCCCGCCCTGCTGTTAGGGCGCTGCTGTTGGAGCCGCTGCCGGGTGCCCGCGTGCGGGAAGTTTCCTTTGATCGAGCGGGTTTGTTGCAGACAGTCTGCTTGGCAGCCTTTGGTTCCCTCTGAAGGCGAACAGCCCGCTGCCAGCCTGACCAGGTGCAGGACAGGCTCGGGGTTAGACGGCAGAGAAAGTTAGCTCGGGCCCATTGTTACCTGGATTCGCGTGTGATTTTGCAATTCTGCGTCTTTCTGTTAGTACTTAAGTATTGGAGAAGGCAAAATCTTGAGACGTAATTGTGGTTCATACTGAGGGTCTAACACTTTTTTTTTTTTAAGTTGCAGAGGTTTAACGTGGATGTTAATGAGTTGTAAGGATCAGGGAACTCTACTTAAATAATCTAAAGTGTCCTGGGAATCTACAACACAGTACTCTTCTGCTTTTTTAAGTCTTTGGTGTCAGTTGGCCTATATACAACTTCCTTCGTTTTGCATATTTAAGATATGGCGGTAGGCACTATCATATAGAGCGAGTGAGAAAGACGCATTTAAAAACAGGAGCCTTTCCCCAGCGTGGAGACGATAAAGCACACAGGAGTTGTTTATTTTTCAAATAAAATGTGCGTGGTGCACCAGTTGGGTTGTACTGAAAGGGTTGGAACGTGTGAGCAGCTGATAGGAGAATTGGGGGGTAATTATGGGGTAGAGAATTCGGCTGTGGTGTCTACCAAGTGTTGGGTGTATTGGTGCTCACTAGAGCAAACAGGCTTGATTGAAAAGAGGCAGGGATTTTAATATGATCGCAGTGTTTAAAAATTAAATAGTTAGACATCAACTTGAACCTTTAGAATAATAAAATGTGAAGGATTATAATGCCTGTGGTGAGCAACTTTCTATGAGTGACCGGCTAGGGAGCCAAGTTTTCTTAGTTTGATACAGATTTTGTCAGCTATCCAGGTGGATTGCATTGTGGCTTTAAATGGGATCACTGGATGAGAGCAGGAGCCTCCGCTTGTTGTTCCCCGGGGTAGAAACTGGTAACACAGAATGTGGGAGTTTACTTAAAGTTTGGGTTACCCAGCTGCCTCTTATTAGGATCCCAGAGATGATGGAACTGTCTAGCTTATCGTGTGTCCCTCCCCACCCCTTTTGTGTTTTATAGCTAATACTCACTTGATGGACCCCAGTGAATCCTTAACTTCCCCCAGTAGAAATGAAGCCCGCAGTAGTGTGCTGGGTCAGGAGCGAGGAAATGTGATGGACTTTTATAAAACCCTGAGGGGAGGAGCTACTGTGAAGGTGTCCGCATCTTCCTCACTGGCTGCTGCGGCTGCTCAGCCGGACTCCAAGCAGCAGAGACTTTTGGTGGATTTTCCAAAAGGTTCAGCAGGTAATGCCCAGCAGCCAGACCTGTCCAGGGCAGTTTCACTCTCCATGGGACTGTATATGGGCGAGACAGAAGCAAAAGGGATGGGCAGTGACCTGGCATTCCCACAGCAGGGCCAAATCGGCCTTTCCTCGGGGGAGAGCGATTTTCGGCTCCTGGAAGAAAGCATCGCGAACCTCAGCAGGTCGGCCGGTGTCCCGGACAACGCCCGCGGTGCAGCGGCCGCCGCCGCCGCCGCGTCCGCAGCCTTGCCGGAGGAGTTTCCCAAAGCGCGCTCCGAGGTTTCTGCAGAACGGCCAGCTCCGAAGGGCCAGGCCGGCGCCAGCGGCGGGGGTGTGAAGTTGCACCCGGTGGAGCAGAGCACCTTTGACATTCTGCAGGATTTGGATTTTGCTGGGTCCCCGGGGAACAACACCAGTGAGAGCCCTTGGAAGTCAGACCTGTTGGAGGACGAGAACTGTTTGCTTTCTCCTGGAGAAGACGATGCGTTCCTTTTGGAAGGAAACTCCAATGAGGACTGCAAGCCTCTCGTTTTGCCGGACACGAAACCTAAAATTAAGGATAATGGAGATCTGATTTTATCAAACTCCAGCAGCATGCCACTGCCCCAAGTGAAAACAGAAAAAGAAGATTTCATTGAACTCTGCACCCCTGGGGTAATTAAGCAGGAGAAACTGGGCCCAGTTTACTGCCAGGCAAGTTTTTCTGGGGCAAATACAATTGGTAATAAAATGTCTGCCATCTCTGTTCACGGCGTGAGCACCTCTGGAGGACAGATGTACCACTATGACATGAACGCGGCAACGCTTTCTCAGCAGCAGGAGCAGAAGCCCGTTTTTAATGTCATCCCACCAATTCCTGTGACTTCAGAAAATTGGAATCGGTGCCAAGGGTCTGGAGATGACAGCTTGACGTCCTTGGGGACTGTGAATTTCCCTGGTCGGCCCGTTTTCTCGAATGGCTACTCCAGGTAAGAGTGAGACTGTCCCCGTTTGTTAGGGGCGCTGTCCGTGTGGCCTCTGGATTCAGGGGCTCTTTGAATCGGCTCAAGGAGTCTTTTGAAAGTAGATGTGGTTGGTCACCAAGATTTATCTGTACAGAACCGTTGCAGGCTTTGTTTTTGAAGTGATGTTCATTATCAGCGGTTAGAGGTTTTACTTAATAACCATTGTCGTTTACTATGGACACGAAGCAGCTTTTTGTGCTCTTAACTACAAAGACCCCAGGTGACTTACGTAATCAGAAGTTGTGCTACTGCATTGGCAAGTCTGAAGGGTTGGCTTGGGCTTACAGGGTTAACCGTTACTGTAAGTGCTGACTGTGAGCCGGTGCTCTGCCGGGGAGTTCTTTGAGGAACTGGAGCGCTGAGATTGTTCAGAGCCGTGCCTGGTGAGCAGTGTACCAGACCCTAGTCGTACCTCGTGGGTTTGTCCAGCAGGGTCCCGACCTCAGGGAGACTTACACAGACTAATCGCAGACACGTTGAAGAGGAACTGCTGGCAGGGTACCTGCAGGTCAGAAGTTTGCCTTAAGTGTCTGTATTTCTCCTGCCGGCCCAGAAGAGAAGCTTCACAGTTTGGGCCAGCGTTTAATTTCTCTCCCTTCTTTTATACCTGAACAGACACTTTGGCTCACATTAAAAAAAGAAAAATCAGCAAAAAGTAATAATTTCAGTACAGGTGTGGGTTGGTAACATTTGATGCTCACATTTACTTCCTGGATGCAGACAAGTGCTTAGATTCTGTCTACTGGGGTGTGAATGAGGGAAAACATTACAATGTTTGTTACAGTGGTTAGTGAAGTGGCATTTTGGGAAAACTGATTTTTCCATAACAGCTGAAGGTATTTTTTTCTTACATGTTTGGAGTGTTCATTGTTTCAGTAAGTGGTCAATAAGGGTTTTATGTAAATCTCTTTTGCAATACTTTGCTTTTATGAAGGATGTTTTCTTTGTGTCCATCTTAATGTGAACAGCTTTTCATGTGAGGCAGAATGCTTGGTTTTTGCACACACTTGCACGCTGCCAGCCACCTAGGTCTTCAGGTGTCTTAAGGTAAACTCCTCAGGACCTGTTGTGTGAAAATACAACGCCTTTATTTAGAAGAACATGAGGACTTTTTATTGATGTTTTTCTGAATTAAAGGTTAAATTTCTATTCAGTGAGATTGGAGATTTACTGCATAAGCTGTTAGCTTTCAGGCGTTTTAAATGTTTTGGTCTCGGATGTTTGGCAGTTGATTCATGGGCTGGTGGCAGGATTCGTTTGGGCGGTTTGTAGGAACTGATGAACTTGATTCATAAAACATGAATTGCGCAAGGAACAGTAATACATTTTAGGAAATATTGGGGGTTCTGAATGCATTTTGACTAGTCATCATGGTGTTTTTTCATTTTCTTACTAAAAAGGTATGGAACAGACTTCCTGTTCACTGTGGACTTTACACATCTAGGATTTATAACTCATAGGTGAACATGGCAATTCTTAAATCACTGAGTGTTTTTTACGTTTATGGTATAGGATGTCTTGTCGTGTTCTTGGAGCCTTACCTGCGGCAGCTCCCGCGTGAGGAGTTGTGCAAGCGCTGATGACGCGGCTCTTCAGAAGGTCTTTAATATCCAGGGAAATGCTTGGCTGTGTTGCAGTATGTAGTTTGGACTTATAATCTGCAGACTTTATTGTCCTAGCAGAAAGGATTAATACTTTATACCTGGTCATGTAATAGTAGTATGTACATCTTATAGAATTAGTGTAGCACTGGAAGCAGCGATGAGCAAGAACACAGCTTCAACCAGAAAAATGGAAACAATGTTTCTTTTCTTGGCCTCTTTGAATTGATCTATTGTTAGCAGACAGCAACAGTGACAACTAAAGTTGGTGACTGTCCCTCTTCTATGTGTTACATGGCTCTTGCCAAACATCAGCTGTGACCAGTGAGCCCGAGTGTTCAGGAAATCATCAGTATGCAGAGACCACAACTGGGTTAAATACTGACTCTGACTTTATAAAAATATGAAAGGTCACTAATGACCTGCATTCCTTCTAAGTTAAAGACAAAAAAACAAAAACAAATTCTAATCTGACTTTAAAGTATGGTCTGAAATTGCTTTTTCTCAGAATGCGCACACACTGTAGTTTGGGGAGGAGGGCAGTTCTTTCAGATACATCAGCACAGCATGGAGGTATCGCAGCAAATTGAAAATTTAATGTCACCTTTGAGCTCAGAAAAGTGTTTTCTTTTTAAGATTTAATATCATCGACAGTAATACAAGAGCTGCTTTATTGATACTGAAGTCCATTCTGAAGACACGGAACATTGTTGAAGGCACATTTCTGAATAACTTGGTTTTTGACATTGTTTCAAGCTGAAAAGAGGCAGAAGTAAATGATTTTAGCTAGAATTAGAGCTTCTACTTTAGGGTTATGTTGAAATTTTAATGTTAAAAAAGTAGACCATGTAGTGAGAGAAAGAATGATGCAGGATGAACTTACAAGTCTTAGGTGCAGTGTAGGGCTCTGATGATTGTAACCAGGAGAAGCTGGGAGGGAAGCAGATGAAAACACCTGGCCACTTGGCACATCTGTGCAGTGAGGCGGAGTCTGTCCCCCTCTGTCCTCCTCTCCAGCATCATGTTGTGTCTGTGCTCAGAAAGGGTGCAGGCCTAAAGGAGCTACTGTTTCGGACCATGGTTTGCCAACTGTTTAGATGGTGCTTTCTTTACTTCCCACCTTTTTTTTTTAAATCTCAAAGATTGGCTTTTGAGTAAATATGTTTGCTAATTTTTTAGCATTATAATGAGACTCTTATTTAAAACCTGTGTTTTGGTACTAGCTGTGATGAGTAAGAGATGAACCTGTTGTGTGCACAGTGTATAATCAGATGTATTGGAATTCTGTCTTGGGACATTTCCTTTGGCTCTTCCTCTTATTTTGAATCGGTAACACAGTCTTGTATTCATAATGCTGTTTTGGTTTTGTGTTTTTGTGCTGCTGGTATTAGTTTAGCCTAACTACTTTCAGTATATTTTTGAATTACCCTGAAAAATAGCTTGCATAAATGTAGGTTAAGTGCAAAGTGATGTTAATAGTGAAACTAAGATGTGCATGGAGATCGCCCCAGGGGCCTTCTGAGATTTTACGGAAGGAAAGATTTGATCAGAAGGGTTTATTTTAATGAGAGTGTGAAAGAAAGCTGCATTAATTTATATAGTTAATTTGCTCTGCCTGCAGGTTATTGATATAGCCTAATTGCATGAAGAAGTGTTCATTTACATTAGGTTGGCATGGGACGGCAGCAGGGTTCCTCTTTCTAATTCTTATACCTGCCTTCCTAGCAGTGCCTCCTCCTTAGGCCCCCACTGCTTAGAGCAAATCAAGGAAGCAAAGTGGCCTTGTGCTGAATGGCGCTTACTTTCTGAGAACAGCCTGTTCATAATTTCATAGCAAGAATTTATAGTTAACTTGCCAAATTAATGGACCTTTCTGTATTTTTGAATCCTGGAAAACATATGTTGGTCAATCTGTTTCATGAAAGGTTTTCAAGAAATATTTTGCTGAATTAAGCTGTAGTTGAGAACAGATTAATAATGGGCCCTGACGGAAGAAAAGGGGTCTGTTCTTAGTTCCATGGCATCAGAGATCCAGCTGCTCTCATGTTCTTGAGTTTGTATTTTTAAATATGTTCCTGTGGGGAATTTACATTTTAAAAAGGCAAAGATCCATTAGGTATGCCTTTCCCTGTGTTCTTGATGGTAAACTGGTTTAAGGTGTGATGGTATGAATGTGTTAAGGTTTTTTTTTTTAAGATTTATTTATTTGTATTGCAAAGTCAGATATACACACAGGAGGAGAGACAGAGAGGAAGACCTATCTGATGATTCACTCCCCAAGTGACCGCAGCGGCCGGTTCTGTGCCAATCTGGAGCCAGGAACTCTTCCGGGTCTCCCACGCAGGTGCAGGGTCCCAAGGCTTTGGGCTGTCCTCAACTGCTTTCCCAGTCCACAAGCAGGAAGCTGAATGGGAAGCAGGGCTGCCAGAATTAGAACCAGCATCCACATGGGATCCCGGCACATTCAAGGTGAGGACTTCAGCTGCTAGGCCACTGCACTGGGCCCGTAAAGGTTTTTTTTTAAATGTATATTTTCTCATTTTACATATTAAGAGGAAACATTTTCCAGCAACACAAAATCAGCCGTAGATGGTGGTGCCGACAGGGATATGTCTAAGTGCACGGCTTCTGTTAGAGCCTGTGACCTCTGTGGGGTGGGGGAATGAAAGCCGGGAGCAAGACATGATGGCGGTGAACTTAGAAACACCACGAAAAAGCCGGAAGCTGGCAGTCTGACTTTGTGAATTCAAGGAAGACATTTGGGGATGTGCTTGTGTGCCCGTCAGCATTATAATCCAGCTTCTTTCATTTGAGCTAAAAATCTGAAGGTGAACATCTGTAATCCTGGTTTATACAAGGATGTTGTCTTTGGGTCTGCTTTACTACCAAGAAAGAGAAAGAATAGAATCAACACTTAACCTTGTTTTATTTTATATCAACTGAGGTTAATTGTATATTTATCCAACTTTTAGGCTGCTGTTCACCTAAGGGGAGCTGTAATGATCTGAATGTACTCAAAAATGATGTTCTGTGTTGATCTGCCACTGCCTGCTTCCTGCTGCCGTCCGCCACACGCTGAGAGAGGCGCTGCCCGCGCCCTTGCTGATGCGTTACATTGGTTGATGTATCTTTCTGCTGGAATATTTAGAAAATTAAGGGCCTAATTAATGGCAAATATGCATAGTAAATTATGTCTGCAAATGCTAGACAGTTAAGCAGGCGGTTTATATTGCAGTATGATCCTTAAAGCCAATTGTTTTGAATTAAAGTGTGTCATCCCATAATTTTATCCCTGGGCCAGTTTAAATATTAATAACTTACCCTGGTAGGGATGTGTGCTTACACATTTCCAGAGTAACTCAC